AAAGGCTTAAAATTAATAGTTTTTCGTCTAGAGATATTTTTAAAAGTCTTTAACTTTAACTTTTGCTATGCTGTGATGACATAGCCGTGATATAATGCCGGCTAATGTGTATGCTGTGTGTGTGAGTGGGTGTGTGTGTATGTGTGGGTATATGCTGTGTTGTTGTGTATACACACGCACGTACACACCCACCACTCACTCGCATCACACCTACACGATACATTCAGCACACACACGCACGCACACACACGCATATGCACGCACAGACGCGCACACGCATGCGCACCCGCTCCGTACTCCGTACCCTCCATATTCAAATAAAAATTATTTATCTTGCGTTCTATACAAAAACAAATGTTGGAATTATAAATTTAACCAATTATTAATAATGTACAAACAACGTACAAACGATTAAGCACGATAAATTCATAAGTTATAGTTTACGTGACGTAATTGCGACATAGGGGAGGCTAACTATCATTGGCACAGTTACAAAAACTTTGTAATTTTTTTTAAATTAACGATGTACAAACAAAAATGTACAAACAATAAAAATTATAGTACATTCATGTACAAACAATGTACAATCCGAATACATAAATGTTTTTACGATTTGCGTTAGAGGAGGGGGGGCAACTATATAGACCTTTATGTCCGTGTTACATCCACTTTCCGGGATGGTAAAAAAGAGATGCAAACTCGAGCTCCGTGCAGCAGGCAACGTGAGGGGCAGGGCCCCCACCATACGAGCACTACACAAGCGAGAACGTCACGCGTCCGTGTGTGTTCGGCCATTCGGTCGACACAGCGTACGATAAATGTTAAGAATCAAGCGTTTTAATCGAGTAAGGCGAGTCGCGCTAAAATATTAAACATCACGCGTTCCAGACCTGCTTCTTGCAACTTTTTTCCACATTTCCGCTTTTTTTCTAACTGTGCACAATCAAATAAATGATTAGATAAGGTTTTTTTGCTAAAAAATATTATTTTACATTTATTAAAAATATTCGCATATGTTAAATTAATAACTCTAGAAAGAAATACTGAATACTCGCTATTGTCAATCAAAAAATAGAAAATAATTTTACAATTTTGCAATAAAATGCAAGTTTGACATATACGAAAATTATAAATAAATATAAAATAATATTTTTTGGTCGAAAATATTATTTAATAATTTAATCGATTACTGTTAGAAACTAATGTGTAAAAGCGGAAAGAAAAATTGTAAGAACCCTAACAGCACACGATATCCTGCGTATCATCCCATTTTCATACTAATTCTACTGTGATTATCCGTTAAATACTGAGGTCAATCCTATAATATCTTTTGCAGTATTATTCGGTTTTCTTTCGCACACGTAAAATCTCAGGTTTGACTCAAACGTACGGAAGTGATACGTACGCACTTCTATCGCGCGCGTATAATCTCAGGTTTGCGAAGACCAGCACTAACCTGCG